TCTAGCAAGTAAAATGTACTTTAGTTCCTGTTGTAACAGTACCATGTTCAGAGGGGCTGATCTTAAGAAGTTTTGTAATTTGGAAAACGACTGATGAAACTTGTGAATCTAAACTAATCTCAAAATAAAACAGTCGTAATCACTGTTGAGATCAACAAAATGTTGAATAGCCCATTTATTGTTTAACTTCCTTTAAACATCATCCCTGCTGTGTCATCAGTAGGCGTTGGTCTTAAAATTCCCTCTAGGAAAAAATGGTTTTACACGATGCCATCACGAGGAGAGAATAATTTGTCCGCACTACTTGACTCTTGAGAAGCACGCCTCAATCATAGTACTTCTGAGCAGTGCCATGCTGAGGGGCTTATTACAAGAAGATCTGAAATTTGGAAAATGAAAAACAAATAGTGTATATAAAAAATAAAACAAACAAACAAACAAAAAAATAATAGTTTAAGTTGCTGCAAACATTGAGTAGAAACTACGCAGGACAGTAATTGTTTGCCTTACCCTTAAAACTTCCTTCGAATCATCACTGTTAAATATATAATTCATGAAAAGGCACGTTTTTCTGAAAACTCCCAAGGAAAAATAACTATAAGGTTTTTCACGATGTTGTCACGAGGAAAGATGATTTGCGCACACTGCTTGACTCTTAAGAAGAACGCTTCAATTTTTTTAGCCCATTTTAGTCTCTGATTTTTTATAAGGGCTATTTACTGTCGAGAAAAAGTCAACTTAACTCACATGCAAGAAATAACGGAGTATCGTCAAACATCACCCTGACGATAGCACTAAACTTAAAAGGTATTAATTGTTAATCATGAGTAATATTTAGGACTCATCTTTGGTAAAGTCGGTTTAATCCAGGACTCGAAAACTAGTTGTTGGTGAGAACAGTTTGGGATTGGTCAGGTTTTAAAGAAACTGTCTAGTTTAGGTTGATATGTTATTCATGCTTTGCAACCGGAAAAAACTGTACTCAGTAACAATAGCCGCCATTAACGAGATTGCAACAATATTCTATGATGATGATCACGAGTCGTGTATAATTTTGGACAAGAGTCGTGATATCAACTGCACACAGAATGAGGGTACCAAACATGGAATATAAAAACCTTTTTTGCTACCCAGTTTATTTTTGGGCTTGTCAATACGCGTTTTGCGAAAACTTTGTTTGCATCAGTTGTTTCTAAATCACCTCTTATTACCTCTCCTTAAAGTTCTTGTTGCACAGCTAGAAGACACAGAAGACAAAAAAACTAATATTTTAAACTTTCTTTATGTATCGATTTTCAAGAAAAAAAGACTATCGAATATGGTTAGCGTTTATGCGATACTTTGACGAGTTCAGGGTAGGTTATTCATAGGGCACGAGTCATTTGTTTCATTGTTCGTCAGTGTTGTTGCATAATAATAGCAAATTCATTTGCTACAAAATACTAGAGCATGTTTTCAGTGCTACTTGTTTTCTGTAGAGAGGTAGATTGTTTTTGTCACCGTATAAAATGCTACTCAATTGCACCATTATCAGTTATCTATCCGACGTCCTTCTACATTGTACTCCAGTCACTCATTACCCTTTGAAGGAAACAAGTGTAACAGGTTTCCAAAACAATACCCAAGGAACTCAAATCTCATTCCAAAATTTGGATTTGATACACCTTTTCAAAAAGGTTTTCTGGATTTGTAGTAGCTTTGGCGAAAACGTTGTCCATTAGACTGCCATTTTTCTAAATAAGCCGCTCTTCGTGAAAATGAAACTCTTAGTTATATGGATGTTACTCCAGTATTCAGCTTAAGGTAAAGATAGAAATTAAAAACGATGCTGTGTGGCCAATATTTTTTGAGCTCTCTCCATCCTCTTTAATTTGGTTCAGATGTCACCAAGAAATGATTAACGCTCTCACCGTTACATTACAGAAAGTGCTTAGGTGTCACCAGTATAACTAAGCTGGCTTTAAAGTGCAAAGATTGCATTCAAATAAGAGGGGATTTATATTTAAAATATAGAGAGAATTCAAAATATTTGAAAAAAATGGCAAGCATCTTGTAATCGCCTTTTGTAGGTATTTGGACAACTTTCAATCTTCTTACCTGAAGTCACGTGACAATTTATAACGGTCGTAAGAAAGAAGGGTCTAGTTTGTTTATTTATTTTTGTTTATAGTGATAATTTTCTTCATTTATAAGCTGCTTTTAATCGTTTCCAGATGTTAACGGAACCGCTAACTTATAAACATACTAATCACCTAAGAAAATAAAATATGTCGAAGACCTGACAAGATGAATTAATTGAGACCGCCCTTATGGGGAGATGGGCGGAGTTATATCCCCCATTCAGCAACTTTCCTCCGAGTATTTGGGCGGTATCAGTTTTGAACCTTGAGGGACTGCAAATCAGCTGGGTATGTCAAAATTCGTTTGATAAGCTTTTGATTCAATCAAACAATTCAATTCGTTATTCCTTTTTTTTAATAAGCGATGGTTTAAGATTATTTTCAGTAGGTACAGCGTATTCAACCTTTAAACTCCCTGAAGACAGAGAATTTAGCTTTCAATTATGTTGAAGATTAGCTTGCTAGTTTTTCAATAGCTGACATTTTAGGAGCCACAACTACAACTTTTTTTGTATATAAAATACGTTTTAAGCGTTTTTAGTATCCCCAAAGCCTTGCAAAAATCTTGTTCATTGCACGGTCACGTCGAATTTCAAGGATCTCAAAGATCTGACACCTTCGTTTTCTTGCGGATCCTAACTCGCCGCTTCGACGCCGCGGCATTTTTTACTAGCGAAGAAATGTCCAGGTGACTATAGATTAGACAGGGAAAACTCGATTAACACTGGAAGAAAGTATTTTGTTGCCGTCAAAGTGTAATTTTTATGTTACCGGTAAGGCGAAAAATCGCATTACGTCTCCTAAATATCTGATTTACAGCCAATATACCGAAACTGATAAGTTAATTTGCTGCTTTTCATGCATCATCCCAGGAATTACAAATGCACGATTACATCCAATGGTTGATCATGCAGAGTTGAAGGTGGGATTGAAGTATCAAAATAATCTGCCGGTAGACTGGGACGAAATTGTACCGTTTAGTTCACTGCGACATTTCACCTGTCGCAACTTGACAATTCTGGACTGATTTGATTTCATATTGCTTGGCAAATGCATTGTTTTGACCTAAGAGTTATTTTTTGGCGTGTTTTCTGGGACCTACGCTGATTTAGATTTGCTTTTTCCCTTGCTTGTAGTCGGTAGTTATCGTGTTTAGAAACTAGATTAATGTCGTTAACTTAATTGAACCGGAAACAACTTCTCTGACGGTATTAGAACCTAACGTCTGAGCTGCTTAAGTATGAAGCTATCTCAATTAAGTCACTCCAGAATGAACCGGAGAAAAACAAAAAGTTAGGACGATCAGATACAGGAACAGACTTGTTGGTGATTTATGCAGTTTATTAAGCCAAAAAAAAAAAACGCAAAGATAACTTGAGAAAGCATTAGAGAAATGACCTGAAAAATAGCTAAGTTGTTCCCTTCGATTGTTGGATATACTTGGAGATAATATCTCCAAAATCAACCTTATCTCTCCTCTCCCAAGGTCTTATCTGCAGAGTCACAGAAATCCATATTAAACTGACCAAAAAAGAAAGGAACATTTTCCCAAAAGTGAATTTGTTTTCGACGCTAGAGCCAGCGGGGTGACGCCGTACCAACAAAAAAGTGCATGCGAAGGTGCCTGCAAGCAAGCTCTCACGGTGATACACTCGCAGGTTACATGCGAAGCAAAACTGTGGACAACGCAAATGGGCAAGTGTTTCCTCCTCGCACTTGCTAAGTAATTGGGTAGGAACATTCATGCAAAAAACTGACCATTTTTTCTCTTTGCTGCACTTTTCAAAGTCATTCCGGTTAAAACAATTAGACAGCTGAGTATTTTGAAGGGGCAAATTTTCGGCGAGGAGGCTTCAGTCCCGGTGATTTCAGTTCTGAAAATATTTGACTTGGTTATAATCTCATTGCTGTTGTTACAGTGGGACATTCTGCTACCCAAATAGCCACCCCGTATAATATAGGTTTGCTTCTTTCTCTCTTGTATCCGTTCATTCAATATTCAGCTTGAAAGAGTCATCTATGCTCTTAAATTTGTGTGAAAGGGGAACGCTAAAATAAAGGCAAAGCAAACACAATCCTAATCAGCGTTAAATCTGGCATAAGCCATATCATATGGCTCATGATAGCGAACAATAAAATAGTCATTAGATAAATTCGGTTATGGAACTGGTAATCATACTAAAGACAACGCAAAAAAGTTCAAAGATAAAAACTTTGCCAATTAGATATTCATGGTGAAAAGATTTCGTTTTTGATTATGTGAACGGGAAAGGTATCTGCGAGAAGAAAGTCAAAAGATTTATAAGGCCCGCGGATGCAGTATTTGCCTGAACTGCTTACTGCTAGCAGCCGATATTTAATGGATAGTACTGAAGTAAAACACATTTTATTAAGTATTATCATTGCCCAGCGATTGAACATTATCACTTTCTATGTAAAAAGTTTTGCACTTTGCTTAAGGGCAGAAATTTCCATCTCACATTGTCTATCTCTTGTTACATATTAATTCTTTACGGCCATTGTGTCTTATTATTAGTTTGAGATAAACAAGTAGCGGAGTCTGATGGCTAAAATTAACTCATTTTTCATGTTGAAAAAGTAAAGCTTGCTAAAGGGTGTTCCGGAAACTCTAGATGATGTTACGCTGCGTAGAGCTGCAGCAAGTTTGCTGAGTTTCTGTTTCCATCTCCTGAATTTCAGTGGCCTCAATTTTAAGTCGTGGTTACCTCACACTTTTGGTCTAGTTTGTAACCAGAAGGATTCAGGCTTAAAAAGAGGGAAATAACATAGGTCACCTTTCGATTTACTTTACCATGGTTACTGAAGCTACACAGAATGTTTCCTAGTTAATTCGTGATGGCTAAAACTCAGGAAATTCCGGTTAAGTGTAGTTTATCCCTCAAGCTGTTTTTTTAGCTGACACTATGGTAACCGGTTTTCATTAATGCCCTTCAACCTTCTTGGCCCAGTTAACAGCTCATCAATGTTGTGGGTTATGTAAATATTATTCAGATTTCGCTTTTCACTTATAAGTGCAACCTTACAGTAAGGCCAGGATCTGCTTGGAGTTGAGAGGCCGACATCGGTTTTGGTGAGTACTAAGTTTAGCAATGCGAATCCCATTTGTTTGGCGAGCCTGCTGTTTTTATAACATTTTGCACAGACTTATATCACAGAATTTTATGACCAACTTATGATTAGCACTTGAATTCCGCAAATTGGAGCCTACAGCTTAGGCAGTCTAGAAGTGCAATATCGTAGCTTGCAATTAATCCTAACAAACTGATCGAAATCAGGCTTTATTTCGCGCTTATATAGATCTTATATAGACGAATGTGTAAAATACTTCATTCTAATGCTTCGCCAATGTACATGGGAGGGGCAAATTTTAACAAAACTGTGCAAGTAAACCTCACCATTTATTTTGTTCTTATTATAAACAAACAAGAACCTCTTAACCGTAGGACAACTCAAGGACAAGACATAGTACAAATTTTAGACCCTGGCAACGAATGGTACAAATCAGTCATTTCACCAGAAAAGTAAAAGGAAATACTAGCTTTATTTGTAGACCAGATTTACGGGAAATGATTCAGAGAATTTGCCGTCTGAAAGTAATGGGCTATCGATCTAGCTCACATCCTTCAAATTGTCATCAAGACTAGACCAAAAAAATGTGGCCGGATTGTCGCACGCATCACTGAACTGAGCGGAACAGCCACTGGGCAAAAGATCTTTGCTTTTGCAGCAATTTCGTTAGATAGTTCGCTCATCTTAATAGACTATCAAATCAACCGCGGCGGGCGCCAATAAATTTTGCAACCGACAAATAAGACTGATAAGATCTCTATTCATTCAGATGCCGGACTGGAATCCAATTTTTCCACAGCATGCAGTATCAATCAGTCCTTTATATTTGGCATATTTTCATCGTTGCATGAACTAGGAAAAGAAAACAATGATACAAATTAACTTAAACAGAAGTTATGTGCTAAGTTGCATTGTTATAAAACAACTTCTTTCAAAACTTGAGTAGGCAAGCAGGTGAAACAACTCCTGAAAAATGTAGGAACCATTCACCTTCTTGAACACGACATTCTGGTGTTTAAAAGAATTAACAAGAATGACCAAGAACAGCAAACATTCATGTAGTGTATAGTTATCGTAATTAATCAAGGAAAAAGGAAAACAAAGGGCAGGATTCGGTAGTGTTATGCAATCGGAAAACGCGTCCAGCTCGTAAGTTGCTTACATCCCGCTTTGATCGATCTTGAGTCGTACTTCTTTACGATCCTGAGATAAGGTGTTGCCCGACATGTCTTGAACATTAAAAAAGCTAATTAGAATTTTTCTGAAAATCAAATAAAGCCATGAGTTTCAGTGTTGTAAAATTCTAAGCAGATATTAGAAAATAATGGCATTGCTATTACCACATTATCCTCAGTGATATGCTGGTATGAGAATTTTAAGACTTAGTTGGGCCTCTTTGCAGTCTGAGATACGTGTTACAGTGTTATTGTAATTAAAATCGAATCTTGTTCTCTTTGAATACCTCACCTTGTTATGTTTATTGAATGTTTCTAAATAAGGAGTTATCAAGCAATAGCCAGGCATGAAGAACTAGTAGTTTTCTGTGTCGGTTACTGTTGTAGGTTACCATATATTAAGTGTAGAACTAAAAATTTAATGTTCACTTCTCAAAATTAAGGTGATATCCAAATGTTAATGCCAAAGCTGTTATTTAAGGCTTTGAGACACTTAATTTCAATACGATTGAGCCATTTTAAAACTAAATATACACTGTATGCTACTATTAGTGCTTTTAAACAACTCAGAATTACTTAGTATAACACCTTAATAAGTCTTTCTGATGTAGTTAGAGCTTACTGGTGATTCTGTTTTTTAAACGAAGACACGAAACAAATTGGCCTATTAATTTAATTTAATTTCTAAGAGACAGGGAAAAGAAACTCGATTTTGCATAGTAATGGCTCGACTAAAGCTGCTCGTCAGAAAATTTCAAGGTAGGTGACTCAGTGTTGATCTAAGGAGAAACGTAACCGACAAAGAATGCTTCACCGCACAATACCAAGGCTTACTGATTGAAATTGCCGTATAAATTAACTACCACTCAACCTAAAGGAGATCATATGGTAAAACAAATATTCAGTGCTAAATCGAATAAATTGACAAGAGCGTTTAGAGGTAAACAAGTGCAAATTGGATATATGGAAAATCTACCGTTTAGGAATTATGTTTCCATCCCTTTGGGTATGATTTGTCCATAACAAATAACACGCAGACATTGAACAATTTGATCCCTCCGAAAGTGTTTTTTTGTAATTTTAAAACATAAGTTGAAGTGTAGGGCAGTAATCCGCACACTCGTGTTGCTGGTTTTTTTTAGAAAAATCCGTAAATCCGCTCATTTAAAAATATCCGAATCCAAAAGGCATGCAATATTTGCACGATTCTGTAAATGTCTTCATTTCTCGTAAAAACCGTCCAGTTGCTAGATGGAGCTTAAAATGTTTTGTACAGAAATAACTGTAATTAAGCTGGTGAGAATAACGACGAATAGAAATTGTTACTGCAGGTTGCATGTAAAAATGGAATGAAGAAAACAAAATCGTTACATAAGTGCGCGCCAATTGGCAAGTTTGTAAGAATAGCCTCTTTTCTGATTTCGACAACAAGAATAAACAACTCAAACATGGAATAGCGGTTTTTTAGAAAACCCGGCTAGGACATTATTCAGCGTTCTCCTTCTTTGAATTCCTTTTTGTACGCAAATCAGTAAATGGTTCGACTCATTTTTGTTCTGACACACTTAAGGCTAAACTGTACGTGCTGTATATCAATTGATAACTGAAGAGTGATCAAAAACGTTTCAGTTACACAGACGGCATATGTCGGTTTCTATGAGAGCGAGGGTTTAGCGACAGTCTTTTAATCCATCGGGGCTTGTTCAATGTGACCCGCCATAGATAGCTTCGGTTGATTCCTTTGATTTGCAAAGTAAAAAGATTTATGATTTATAAAGTTTGATTCTACCGTTTTCTACACATGTACATGTAGAAGTAGCTAGCACATATATATCCATAAAAGAAGGAACAAAAAAAAAGGACGAAACACCTGGAAAAAAGCTAGTTCCGTAGCTGGTCGAAAGTTTCACTCGAAATCTGAAATCCGAATTGTTATTATTATTGTTTTCTTAAGCTAAATCCAATTATCTGGATATTTTCTTCCTTGGCTGATATATCTATTACAAGTACCTCGAATATCAACTAGGCATTATGACCATGCATTAGGCCAATATTTCTGGATATTGTCGTTCATCGAGTTCTCCTTTGCTTTCGTCTTTATGATGAAAAGTCCAAAAAATGGAACAAGGTCAATATTTACGCCATCTTCACTGAACAAATTTGGTCAATAAAGGATTTACTGTAATTGGCTAAAGTAAAAAAATCCTAAGACTGTGCGTCTTGGTTTTCTTTGTTTTCAATGCCAATAAAAGTTGGCCGGTTTCCTTGTTTTCTTACTTGAGGTTTCAAAATTGCACAACTACTTAAGTCGCGTAAACCACGTCAAAGATTGTCTCACGCGCACAGGTTTAATTTAGAGACAGAGTGGAGAATCTGAAGCGTACGATATCCAGCGCTATCTACTTCGACATGGTAAGGCAGCACAGGACAAGATTGGCTTGTGAGATGCTCTTGGCAGTGTAAAAACTCTCTCACCAATGTTTGACATATTTCAGAGACAATTCCATCTCGTCTTGTCAGAGAGTAGACGATGTACTATCATCATCATGCCTATCATAAATATTGTGAAGTTGTGTTAAAGAGTTCGTTAGCAGATGACCATTCAGGATTTTTTAAAGAGAAAACAGGTCTTTTTCCTCAGAGGGGACACTTTCAATTTATTTTGAAGAAAACTTTTAACTTTATCCTCAATGGAAGATATGATTATTTTTTGTTTTATTTTATCGTAAAAGGTTATTTTAGCCTTAAGAATATCCTTGGCCATAAATCCCGTTGTTTAAAAGTTACTTTCTTTACTTTATTTAATCTCACTGGTGGCCTATAAACAACGTATGTGTTGAGCTATTTTTATTAATTAGCATCTTAGCTTTTTGATAACAAAGGTACGAGTCATCATAATTCCCTTACCAGTGTAAGTTCCTGTAAGCATACTCAAGACGCTTCGTTCTGCAAAACTGTTTTTTTTTTACAAAATGCTGATAGAAAATTTACGGTCCATATAAACTATCTTGAGTATAAATGCTGTTCACTCAGCCATCTCAACAAACTTTCACGTTTAGTCTGCTGATTCAGTTCGAGATTTTTACTTTCTTCTTGCTCCAAATGTTGCTTAAGTGGCCCGAGATGCGGACTTTGACGTGTTGCGAATGTCCTTGATTCGTTGACTCTTAACGTACTTGAAATAGTTTTTTTCCCCGTTGTTAAATTGTCCTTTTGCTTCAGTTGGCGGTTTCTATCGATAGGACCGGTCGTTAACGGAGCATCTTGTAACTGATGCGGCAATTTTGGAAGTTGAAAGGACCTTTCATTCTGTTCTTTGTAAATAAGTTGACTATTTGAATCACGTATTTGTCTGGCAACTAGGTTCCCCTCTGAACGTGAGCGTAGGTTTACAGTAGGCGCCAAAAGATTATGAGTTCTTAGTCTCGGTGAACTGCTCCTAACTACCACGCTTCGTCTCATGGGCGGATCAGGATAAAAGCTCTGTCTGGTCGCGTGCTCCAATAAGATGGTCTCTTCTACCTCGGTTGTTATTCTTTCTGGTTTAAGTTTCAACGTTTTTCTTTGCATTTCCCTAGCTTTTTCCCCCTGGACTTAACTTTACGACGATAAAAATAGGAATAATTTGAGCAAACCTCGAATAAACCCTTTCGCTCCGATATTGAAGGACTAAATAAACCATGTAATGGCATTTTATCCATATTAACAATATAATCTACCTCTGTAATTTGCGGTTTGTAATTTTAGCTATGTAATATCATTGAAAAGGATTGGACGTTTTCCCAAAACAACTGATCTTGAACAAACCTTGAAGCTCCATTGCATTCCAATGCATCAGAGGCTTAATAACATATCAGTTGAAAAAGACTGACATATACACTAGCTGTCGTTTCAGGAAAGTACAAGATTTTGATTTAATTCTGTTGTGTATGGACATGACTTGGCACTTTTTAATTTCTTCTAGTGAATGATACACAAATGATCATAGAGCTTGAATACAACACAACTGAGCTTTAACATCTTGAGTTTAACATTTTTTTTGAAAAAGGATATTATCTAACGAACTATATACCATTTGACACTTGACAGAATACTTGAAACAGACAGCACAGAGCCCGCTAGAACAAAAAAAAATAACGTGTAATAACAAATTTTATATTGTAAATTTAATGCTACGGTGGTGATCCTGTAAAGATCTGCTTCCTAAAAGAATAATGTTAAATCAGTTGGCTTTATTTATTTCATTGGCTAGTGACGTAAAAATATTATTTTTGAAGCTGACTCATTAAAAATGAAAAAAACACATCAAAAGAAATCACTCCCTTAAACGGAAGTTGGAATTCTTTTACATGTACATCATGCAATAGAGCGCTGGTTATAAAAAAACAGTTTACCGAATTGTTAATCCTTCATTTTGTTTTGTCGCTGAAACATATCTCAGTTCTGTGGTTAGCTTCATTAAATATAGGTGCAAGCTGGACCTAGCAACGATGTCTCATTCTACACAGTCAAAAGTTAATTATACAGAAACTTGAAGACGATGGATTAATATACAGGAATCATCTATTGTTACTAACAATGACGTATCAAGGACAGGAGATCTATAAAACATAAGGAGCAGCCTTCGAACCCGGTTACTCTATATAATGAGCAATCCACGCGGGTAGGTACACTTTTGCATGGGTTTTAGTGATTTCATGTAAAAGCGTAGGGAAACCTGTCGTTAAGGTATTTCAAAGGATATAAACCTAATAACGATTATTCACCGATGTGCAAGTGGCTAGTAGTGGATATTTAACAAGCCGTGAACTGCCAAAAACTGCCAAATCGAATTTTGTCGCCTTCTTCGTGTTGTAGGGAACAGCTTCCTCGTTTATTTGTGAAATATCTTCGTTTAGTGTTACGGTTGCAAACCACCCGAAAGCCATTTTGCTCGTAACTTACACGAGCTTGGCGTCCCTCGGAGGTGAAAAGTATACAACTATCCCCTAAAGGGGAGGTGGTGGTGGATAGACCAAGACGCGAAGCGTCGAGGTAAGTATCTAGCACTGTACCCCTTGAGGGGTATAGTTGTTTTAGTATAAACCAAATCATTTGGATAAAAATGAAAAAAGTTACTTTTTGTAAATCAAAAATGTCACTTAGTAGGAACTTTATTACAATTTACAAACATTTCGGGGATTTTGTCAAGTGCATTTCTACGATTTTGTTGCAAATTCGGCATGAAAATAATTTTCTACCTACCAGTTAACACTGACAAGCCAAACATAGTCGCTTACTTAGTATTTGTTGGTACCGAACGACTACTTCATTTATCGCTCAAATTTCGTCTGCCGAAAATGCCTAGAAGCGAGACGCCATCTTGGCTCCGGTCGCAAAACAGTGAATAGCCGAGGATATTCCGAGTTACGGGAGCCAATCAAAACGCGCGAAAAGTGCTATTCACTGATTTGGTAAATACTAACACTGGATATCCCGAGACTGAGTTGCCAATCAGAGCGCGCAAAAACACTAGATACTTCACGAGTTGATTGATTTTATAGGTTTCTTTGATTCTAAGGCCCCTTAGTTAAAATATTTCCAGAAGACGTACCTTTCCGGCCTTTGCTTCCTTTAATTAACAAGGTTTTAAAAAAGGGAAGCAATGTACTTTTATAAATATCTTACGTAATGATGAATACCATTTTGCAATGAAAGGCATACGAATGAAGTACAGCATTTCTGTTCATTAAATCTTTGCTGAGTACCCCCTCCACCCTCTATTTTTCAAATTGGGAGGAAATTTTCTAAGTTCGAATACAAAGGCCGTTTATTTTTCGAGGGCTTAATACTTTGCTCTCTAGCCTGATTACACTAAATACTTCCTTCCCTTCAAATATCCGAAGCATGTTCCCTTAATCGGCCTATTTGGCCTTTAACTATAATGGCACACGTTAAAGTCGACAGAAAAGGGCTCAAGACGCCCTGCATGAGTGCGAAATAACTGAAGAAGAGAGCTCATCTTACCAAATGAAGTACATTAAATCCACTCAGCGAGTGATTCGGAAATGATCTCACTAAAGACCTTGAAAGTAATGTTCACGTTTCGTTTTCCTTCAGTCAAACGAACAAACGCCCCACAGTGAATCTTTTCTCCTTTCAGTTTGAGCGCCAAACACTGATCAGATGAAAAAGAAGCACTAGACAGTGTACTAGCGACTGTAAAGAAAGAGAGAGAAAGAGAAAAAAACGACCACAAGAACAATTAGAACAACAAAAACAGCAATGATCTCCATCTAGCCTGGTTCCAGTTGAGAATACTTCCAGAACTTGATATCTTTTGCCTTTGGGCACAAGAATGTAAAAAGCTCTAGCTTTTATTCACCGGATCAACGGATGAAGCCACCGGCTTGTTGAGCCTAATAATAGTACCACAGGAAAGTTAGCTCTTCATTGATCACCTTCTTCCAAATAGCCGAAAAGCATTTCTTATCAGCTAAACGTATTTGTAACAGACCGCATTAAAGTACCATTAAGTAGCTTTCAACTGAATTAAAGGTCATACCTCAAAACCTCGACGTGTGTGTTGGGAAAAAAAACTCGGGTCTGTTGGCATTCGTGATTTTTATTGTTGTTAACCAATGTGGTTAAGAGAAATTGGTGTTTGCGGTTTCAAAATCGATCCGTCTGATGCGAAATTTACGTATACTGTGTATTCATGCACCTGACATTATCTTAAAGCACTGGCCCGTTACGTTAATGAAGCTGGAAGAAGTTTTAAATTCTTGAGCCCTCATAAGTCGGCAAGCGCTCTTTTCAGGAAGAAAAATATTATTTTAAGGAAATACAAAGAAAATTTGCAAGATTTTTTTTTCTTGAAAGACAGGTGTCTTGGTCTATACTATATCCAGAACAATCCGCAAGATTTCATTTTTGTTTGCAATTGATACTTGAGCATTGTGAAAAGACTCTATGTCGCAATTAGTTTGACGCTACCAAAACTCCCTTTCATGACATAAAATCGATTCAAGCCTATTAACTTTGTTTAAAGATATATCTGACGGTGAGAGTACGTCCTATCCTGCATGGTAATATTTATGCAAAACCGGTCGGAAACGGGAGCCTACAATCTTGAGCAGTGCTGAAGTTTTTTAATTTTCTAAGCCGTGTTTAATTAGGAAATGAAACGAACTGGAAAGTTCAATTCTATCTGTGCAATAAAAAAAATTCTTGCAATTTTTGTCAAAGGCGAACAAAAGCAAGATTAAAACTGTGTATTGTTTTACTGGAAAACCGCGTCGAATTATTTTAAGAAGTATCATATTTATTACATAAACTTTGTTGTCTAAATTTCTTTCTTGCCAACCAAAGCAGGCATCTATTGGATTTGTATCGTTTTTTGTTCTTGTTTTTTTTATTAGTAACTAAAATGTCAACAGTAACAAACATTAAAAGTCCTAACCTTAGAAACTGCTCGATCAGTTGCATCTGCTGTTTCTAAATAGGGAAAGTATTGTGTATTTAACAAGTAACTTATAAATTAACAAAATAACAAAACAACAATAGACAGTATTTTAGTATACATAGACTTTCTTAACGCTGCGGCAGATAATTTCACTCTTTCCTCTGTGTATCGGAGCTAAATCCTACTGATTCTTTTGTGCAGTTTGTAACAGACCCCGGCGACAGGATTAATGGTAAGAATAGTCTACGTTGACAAGGACAACTAGAAATAATTATTACGAACTCTTCTGTAGCACAATAGGTAAACCGGCGCGAATACCAATTTACATTTTTGAGCGGTTTTGTAGTATAAACGGAGAAATCATTTTCTTTAAAATGATTCAAATTTAACCGTTTGGAAAGTTTTAAAAGTTCTTTTTAAACGCGTACAGCTGCACCACACATAGTTTACATAGCCCAATCTGTCGGCCAATTCGCACAAAAGCAGTCTATACTTATTCGCTTGGTTCCATGTATTTTTACATATGACAACAGTGAATATCGTTATGTAACCCTTCTTTATTTTCCCAAAACGAGCTTATAAACCTCACGAGTTAATATACAAAACTAACGCGACTTAAATTAATTTTACCCGGCTGTTTTTGTTGGTGTTAAAAAAATTTTTTTTCCGGTTTTTCGCATGACACGCCACTCTGTTACCTCTCGTAAGATTTAAGGAAGACGAAATGCAGCCTATTAACTGCCAGGGCAATTTTTAAAGTTAATTGAAGGCTACGTTTAGACAAATGACGGGTGAGACTTTCTAACCTCAGCTGTAAACTGTGTCGATCCCACGGACGCTCCAACAATTTTAAAATAAACGGTATGTTTTATCCTTTTTGATATAGAAGTGGAAAGGTTTGATCGTTCAGTATTGCTTGTCAAGCATGGCGATTCAATTGTAACCGCGCAATGGATAGGGATTTTTCGTAATCCAGGACAGCTATGTGTTTTAGATAAGTTTTAATGTATTTTGTTACAATATATAAAAGCTTAAAGGCAATCAAACCGCAAAAACAAAACTATCTATATCGTTTTCTTTCTTAAGTGATTATCGAAAATTGTTATTATTTGGTTATCAAACGAGAAGGTGAATCATAGAAGAAAGTTCAAAGTCATAAAAAAAGTTGCACAGGATTGAGCCGAGGTTCCTCAATCCCGAAGTTATTTTTGTCCTTAAAGAGGATTACTAATTCATATCATTTTTGTCATCATTAACCACAGTCATTTTTAATGGAGGGAAAAGAAAATATTGTCTAAGTTGTAAACATACTGTTTACCTTTGGAATAATCCGTATTACTGTTCAAACCTCAGCATGGGAGGAACACTGCAGCTTTTCTAAATGAATAATCTGACATAATCTTTTTATGTTTAACATTGACTCGATAAAAGCCCAGCAATTAGTACTCGAAAAACCAAGTTTGGCGTTCAGTCAATCCAATTGTTACATGTAAATTAGTAGACATACGGATTAAAGGCGATTGAAGAATCTGCAGTGCTAGGATTTCTGCACGTAGCTTCCTATACCACAAAACCGGACCGCTAGGTGAAGAATCATTTTGTATATTTCAACTCAAAAGTTGGCTCTCTATATTGTAAGTTTATAACTACAATAGATCCACAGACATAAGATAGCTTCAAAGGTTACTAGCTTCATTGTAGTTCACACTGAGTTAGCAATTGACACTAAGTTTTGAAGGAAATTGGAAATTGTCTCACCCTGGCATTCAAGTAAAAGCTTTGTTACAGGCTTGGTATCGTAAATTATCAACAAACTGTGACGTTTTTATTAATCTAAAGTGAGGTCATTTGGAGGACTATAATCGAATAGCATAACGTACTAGTTTTCCTTGGTTGTACCTTGTTCATGGTTTCATATACAACACAGTGTCGTGACCTTTACTGAGATGAAATCCGGCCGTTAACGACTGCTAGAAGAGAAAACAAAAACATAATTTGGCACACTAATAGTCGAAACGTAAGTCCTATTAAAATAAAAATCACATACATAAATAAAAAAAAAATAAACTTATTATAAGTGATTGTTTTCAATACTTCATTTGCAGTGATTTAGCAATTTTCAATTTTCAATTAACAGATCACTCTGATTATAACCAAGTATACTGAAGTGAGCATAACTGTTTCGTAGGCATTCAAGATGACTGACGAGGATGCTACCAAGTATACTAAGCTCTTCGTGGGAGGAATCCCTTATCATACAGAAGATGAAACAATGAAGGAGTATTTTCTGCAGTTTGATGACATTGTAGAGGCAGTGATCATACGAGAAAGAAACAGTCAGCGATCCAAAGGATACGGATTTGTAAGTTATTTTAGCTATGATACTCCCAGAATAAAATTAAACCGCAAAAACTACCTTGTCCTCACAAGATGACCAGTAATTTATGCCCTGAGGAATTTCTCACCCGGTTCTTCAATCTTGAAACTAATTTAAAAATCTGACTCATATAACTCGGTGGAATCCGGAGATATCGAAACCCATGGCCATGGCCTGAGACATGATTCTAGGCATGCGGAAGCAATTCAGAGGCCAATTGTATCCCAGAAGAGTGCTAGCTGACCTGGAATCCAAGATCACTTTAAACTGTGTAGTTAAGGGATCAAACTTTAAGGATAGAATCATTTCGCCTACAGAGCTCCTGGCAGCTGGCCAGAAAGATCGATTGATGCACCACAAAATTATCAACCTTCCTTTTGAGACGATACAGAAAATAAAAAAAATACTTTCTGGTGACCTTAACCATTTGTGTCAAATATAAAATTACTTTTGTTTTCATGCGAAACAGTGTTGTGTAAAGAAGATATAATCATGACGCGTTTTTCAACTTATTAAGCCAAAAGTAAGTCTAAAGATAGAAACAATGGGTAGAAGCAGAAGAATCCACTGCGAAAGGAGGAAGTGTGGTCCAAGTGAAAGCCCAGGAAAATGAGTTTCGGTATTGTGATTATTCGTTTGGATTTCTCCTCAACTGGTTTGAGTATACCTTTACATGCGAGAAACGCAAACGTCAAAATGATAGCAAGAATTTGTATTCGAAGTACTGCTTAAGACAACAGACATGCTGCATGTAGATAGATATAAAATATAAATACACAACCCTCTTTTGACACAAATGTAACCTCTTTTTATTTCAGGTTACCATGGCAACAAAAGAAGGAGCTCAGAGGGCATGTGCAAATAAGAGGCCGGTTATTGACGGCAGGCGAGCGAATGTAGATCTGGCATATCTTGGAGCAAAGCCTAAAAACCCAAAGGTGGCACCCCAGCAAGATGGTGCAGTCAGTCCAAAGTCCTACAGTGTGCCCTCATCTCCAACCGATTCTGAACAGGATTTCCGCTTGGAACATGGCACGGAGTTGGTAGTAGAAGAAAAGTACCCTACACACAGTGGCTCACCTAGCTTTCCTGGAAGTTTAGCGTACGACTCTATCCATTCTGCAACAGCTCATACAGTTTCAGCCCACGCAATGATTTCACCTTGTGGCCTGAAGACTGTCAGTGTCGGTGGCATGCAAGCTGTTAGCCCCAGTCAGCCACCAGTGAATACCATGAACCACTACAATCAGTCGTGTTCGCTATCACGATACGACAAAAACACTTTCAGTCAAAAATATTTGGCTAACCAAAATTCTGTTGCTATGGTGACCTACATGCCACAGGCCGGTGCTGTGGTGGCTTTGCCAGAAAGTCTCGCTTTTCCTTCACAATTCAACTCACCACAGTTTGCCCAGGTCCAAGTTCCTCATCATCCCACAAAACCCATACCTGGTCCAGCATACGTCTACTCTGTCCCTGTGTGGTACGTAGACCAAGGGGTGCAAACATGTGGCCAAATCAGCGTAGATGCAGGGTTAAGTTATCCTCAAACACCTTTGGTGCAAGCAGGGATGAACGGAAATACCAGTTGTGGTATTCAAGCTGGAAAATTTTACTCCACACCAATAACTTACTATTAGTTCTTACCTTATACAAGCACCGCAAAAGAACAATTTTAAGAATTAAATCGAAATAGTGCACTGAATGCCATCATGGGCAGTTGCTCAGCATAGTTACCTAACTTTTGGGGACTTAAAAATACCCAAAGTGTTAGGAAAGAGGAGAAGTACACTATAGAACTAACTTCCACTCCATTATAATGCATTGGTTTCTTTTCTTTTGAACCATCAAGTGAGGAGCTAATAAGAAGTAATTTAAAACAGGATGATGTAAAAAATATATATTAAATACATACTGAGAAATACTCACCAAAAAGCTATGTCGTAAATTTTCATACGCAAATGAGTTCTAGCCAAAAATGGTCTTCACACGTGAAAAAATGATACGTCCAATAAGAATTGCAAACGATGTTTTTCTCGTGTGAGAAAAACGATACATGCAATCAGAAGCCATGGAAGTGTTTGAGTTTCGCGCCAAAATTCCCGCCTTTTGCAGCGCCGCTTCGCAAACATTCAAGGAGGAAAGTTTTTCTCGAAGAGTTTTTCTTGTAGAAAAGTGAAAAACATCTCAGAAAAGTGAGTGGAATAGTTTCGTTTGTTTCATTGTCGATCAAAAAAAAAAAACAGACTCTAGAGGGCCGCAAAAACAACAGCGCAAGGGAAAACTGAAACAGAACGAGACGTAAGCTTAAGTTGTACTTTTCATTGGAATTGTCTTCTATTTAATATTCAAACCGGCCATTTTACCTAAATTCATTCAATTTCAATTGTGGATTCGGAGCAGACGGTTATTAAGATAACTTTTAATTATTGGATTACCTCATATCCTTACCCTCGTGATATTTTTAACAAACATTTCACTAAGAGGCTGATACTTCGATCTCGTTGTCATTTCGCGGTGTGTCGCGGCCAATTTTGGCATTTTGGAAAGACTTACAATAAAAACGTCTCAAAATGGTGACTGTCTCAGTATGTATATAATAAACACAAGGCCAAATAGAAACTGCTTCGTACGGGTATTTACGCACTCGTTGTTTTGTATCAGAAATCTCTCTGATACGTCAATAACTAGTGCGTAAATACCGTACGCCCGCACTTTCCATGAAGTATTCTCTATACTTTGTCTTCCTCAAAAGGGATCGTCAATACCATGCAAAATACCGTACATTTCAGTTAAATTTGTAAGAAAATAAGTAGCGAAACAAAAAATTTTAAAAAGTCTTGGCCGTATCAATAGAAAGCAAATATTTGTAAGTCATTTTTGACAATGCGCTTTCTTTAGCATTTTAAGTTAAAAATATCTTAGTTTATAAATTTTTTACTGTACAGTTGTTTGCACATTAATGTTTTTCAATTTGTACCGTTAATAAGTTATAATTTTCATAACCCAACGTGTAAAAAGGGCTTCTGTGATATAAATTATTTTAACTACGCGTAGTATGCTTACATAATTAAGAGGTAAATTTAAATGATTTTAATAAAACATAACTGAATTACTTTCTTTCCTTTTCTTAATTATGTGGCTAAAAGATGCACTTACTCTTGAACAAGCAGCGTCGAAACGGAAAAACAGTTCTTCTCCAGGAGACGGCAACAAAGGGAACGTCATTGAAATAAAACGGTTTTCGTCTTTCTGCGATTTCTCCGGAACAGAAAAGATCCCGCTTGTTAGCGACTTTATGCTCTCGCCTCGAATGACGGAAATTCTTTAACTAAACAAAAAGGGATCAAACAGATGAATAAACTTACGCATTTCCGAATTACACAGACTCCCACTTGCCCTCGTCATTTCCCACAATCATTGTACCGAACCATAAACTCTAAGCCAGGCGCAACATATACAAGCTTCAGGACAATGCCAATATAAGTGATGTCGTTACATGCCTTCCTTAATTTTGTATAGGTGCGTTCCCGGCCCCTTTTGTTAGAACTGAAACCGGGAACAGCTTACTTTTCTCTAAATCTTGTCTATTAGTTCGTTGCTACCTGTTTGAATTTCAAGTTGTCTCACTAATTATTAAGATCACCAATGCCCAAGGCTTAAAAGTTTAGTTATAGATTTTAATTCATATAAACGACAGTCTTGTCCAGCTTGTCTTGAATGCCGGCTATAACGAGAGGCTCAAACGTCTGGAGGTGGAGTTGAGTCTCTTTCCAATTACTTTGACGTAGTTCTTTAAATTGCGCCATAAAGGAAGTCATTTCGCACTACTTGTAATTAAATCCAAGGGCGTAGCCAGCCCATAGACCAGTAGGCCCCCCTAAGGCCCGGGCCTCGAAAAATTTTTGGTTTGATCACTCTACCGCTTGTAATAAATTATGGGTTGTTGGGGTTAGCTAAAAAGCTTAAGAGCTCAAAGTGTGTTAGTGCGTACTAGTCATGCGTGCAATCAGCAGAATTATAAACAATAATTTTTCAGGATGTGTGGAAAAGTAAATTAGCCAGGCGAAAAGCTGGATACGCCCCTGAAATCAGATCTGAAAAATATTGTTTAGAGAATTAATTTATTCTTGAACTCTTTTTGAAAAAGTGTGACAAAACTTTTTACTTGCCTAGTGGCGAATGTCATTATCACTTCTGTTAAACCAGTATCACTACCGGCTAGCTCTGTCTAATATCTCAACCGGCAAACAAATAGCAAATCATACCCGTTCAGGAGGATGACATGGCTTACTATATGCCTAATTACTGATTGCTTCCCCAAGACAATTTATTGAAAAATTTTTTTAAGTAACCTGGTTTAGGCGTTTAGAGATTTATGTATTGTTGTGGTGGACACGCACATTTATTACCCCAATGTCTGCCCAATAATGGCGTTTAGGGTAAAGGATGGAAAGCCGGTGTTTTGTGTAAATACACCGCAGCAAATGAAAATGCCAATTCATTGTCTGTCCCTACTCTAAAGTTTCCTGTTCAGTTGAAAACTTGTAGAAAAAAGAAGGTAAATAAATCACGAAAATGTGCGCAAGTTCAACGAATGTACAATTTAAAAAATGCCTGGGCCATTATTATTATTATTATTATTATTATTATTATTACATGACATATATAATTCTTAATGTTGTATAGTGCTTAATTTCTTAGTTTTGTTCTTCTTATTCTTCTTCTTGTTATTATTATTACTATTATTATTATCATTATTATTAATATTATTATTATTATTATTGCCAAGTCACTTCAAGACACGACATTGCAAAGTTCATGGTTTTCAACCCGTAATTGAAAATGTTCATCTTCTTTCCTTAATATGCCAAATGTTAATGGTTTTCTGAATTGCTCAAATAATAACGATCAAAAAAAATGAAAATGGTCCGAGATCTTCTTTCCTGATAATCCAGTCAAAAATGAGTGCCAAAAATACAAATGTTCCAGAATTAATATATCATCTTTTGGTTAGGAATTGGGATCTAGACTTAATGAACAATTTTAAATTCATCAACATATGATATTTAAGGATTTGATTTTTTTGCATAATTCAATGTCGTTTATATTGCCAATCTAACACGGCTATTGAAAAAAGGTTTGCCTATATTTTTGTTTTGGGGATTTACAGAATTTTTTACAGTCAAAAACAGAAATCAAAAGTTTCCATTATTAATCAAAAACAGAAATAAAGTTTCCATTATTAATACTTAATAAAGTCTAATCTCAAACGCTGCACAATAAAATCATTCTTGGCCCAAACGCCGAGAAAAATCACGTCAGCGGTTAACGAGGTGGAAAGTGACTCAGACCGTATCAAGGCTTTTTAACTTATCCAAGCAGCGGGGGATAAGGTGAAAACCGTCAGTTACACCCAAATGTGGCTCATCATGTCCCTTGGTAGTGTAGTGTAGTGTAGTTTCAGTTTGACGTAGTCGGTACAAGCGAGCGCACGCAACCAGAAAAGCATAAATTAAAAAAATTGTAAAACAACAATAATAAAATCACCGAACAATGTCAGGTCGCCAATCACGCATTTTACTAAGGTGACCCGTAATTAATTAAAGGTAAATCGTATCTCCGGTATACGCTACATTTAAGGTCACGTATTTATATTTGTTTCTCTTACTCTTGAGCTTAATGTTTTTAAACTCTTCTGACAATTATAACTATTCCAGTTAACTCAGGGTCTAAGGAACATATTATTTTTTCTTATAATTTCACGCATTTTCAATTACGGTAACGCACGTTTTAAGTTATGGTATGTCAAAAATACTAATAAAATAAATAAACAAACAGATAAAATTAAACAAAAAGAAGGAATCGTGCAGTTCAGCTGAGTCAAATGAATTAGCATAATGTTTTGGGATAAATCAAATCTTCAAGTAATGGAAGTATAAAACACCAGCGTGCTTGCTTGTTTATTTGCTAGATTGCGCATATTGTGTTCAAAAAGAACAGAGCACTTTATTTCATTGAAATCAAATATCACAATGAAAACACAACAATGGCCGCAGGGTGAAGGCAGCGCCAATGAAGACATGCAAAATAAATAGAAATAAAAGTAAAATGCGCCATTCATAAATTCACGATTTAAGTTCGGAATGCTCTTCCCTATTGACAAGAATAACAATTTCATTTATTGCGGTTGTCGTTGGCTGCAGCATGCATGCAGTGAAAAAGGTCGGACTTGGTCCAACTAATGACGTCAGATCATTGTCTCTGACGTGGATCCTGCTACGTACAACAAGGCATCCGGCATAATCCGCATATTTTAACCACAAATGCTCAAGATAAGGTGAACAGCTTCAGTACAGAATTGCCAGCACAGTAAGATGAATGAGGTGAAAAGAAAAGCAACCGCTAAGTATTTTGAACAAGTTTTGTGGAACAATATTTCCAAGCAGAATTCTTTAGAAGACCGACGTTTAAATCTACGATGCAGCAAGATAGACAAGGATGGAAGCGTAGCTGTTAAATCGTGGGATTCAGAACAGTTGCTCATGATCAGAAGAAATAAAAAGCTTCGAGAACTTATCGGCTCCACGGAAGATTGCAAAAGACCTGATCACGATAAGAGAAGGTGTCATAGTCAGCTGGCCACGAGTCACCATCTTCCATCTTTAGCAACACACGACCGTCCATTGACAACTGGTCGAAAGACGAGTTTATCTGTCCCAAGCATACTCGACAATCGCCTTTCTCGGTCTCACCCAGATCTAACAACTGACTTCGTATTGCAAAACACAAGAAAAGAAAGTATAAACTTGCCCGCTGTGTCTAATGTTGCGGTACCGAAAGTTCGAAGGAGCTCGCACTCAGCGATCTCACGGAACACCTGTTTATCAGACAGTGAAATAAATACGAAAAGAAAAAGAACATTAACATGGAACAAGCCATCGATTCAGTTACATCAAAGGAATAACAATATATATTAACGCTATCGAACTTGATTTTATTGTGGTCTAGTTAAGCTTGCTCAGTGGATCTTAACAACTAGCAAGGAAATGGTTCATGGAATATAAAAAATTAATTCATTTATCATAAAATGAAAGTATCCTTAGTAGTGCCGGTAATAACATACCTTATGGATGATCGCAAAGCGCCCTTTTTTACGTATAAGCCAGATTACAAGATAATATAATTAAGAATATAAACAAGACTCATTATTTATCAAATATGATATATTAAAAGAAATGAATTCACAATCAATATCGAATATAATGTTGATCACTTCGCTTATTGTCCTCTGAAACACAGGACCCCCAACCCAGGACAGCCCGACCTATGGGAAAAATTATGCAATTAAACTGGAAAAAAAGAACGATTGAAAAGATGCATTTGTCGACATCATGTCCCTAATTTTCCAGCGAATTTTTTTTCCCTTTTTGTGGCCTCTTTAGTTTTCAATCCAGTCTGGTTATTTTTCCGGCTCTAATATATCACGAAATCCATGGTGAGCAAAAGTAATAGGTCGTTCCGATAGAATTGTAAAAAAAATTTGGGGGGGAGCAACAACGTGTATTATGGGAGAGGTGCAAATGGAGAATATCAGAACGAAGTTCGAACCTAAAGTTGCAACTGTGTTAATATGATCAAGGGGTCGTTTAT